GATGTCACATCCACCAACAAACTCGCCATCTATGTAAACCTGGGGAATCGTAGGCCAGTTTGAAAACTCCTTAACTTTTTGCCTTAATTCTTCATCATCAAGGATGTTATAACTCGTGAAGTCRTCAACTCCGTGCATTCTTAGGACCTGTACGACTGCATTGCTAAACCCGCACATGGGCTGTTCTGGAACTCCTTTCATAAAGACGACAATTTTGTCCTTTTTTACAGTCTCTTTAAGCTTTTCGTCTGTCCATTTAACGGATTGTTCACTAAACTGTCTTATACGAAGCGACAACGGGATGGAGGCGCAAGGCTGAAGAAGCAATTTGGGATTTACAATCCTTCGTGCTAAGAAACTCATGACTCATGCAAAAATGGCGCACGACTTGTTACAAAAATTGTACTGTTAGGGGAGGTGTGGATCCTGACCACTCCCCCCACATTGCAAACTTATTGACCTGAGACGACGTCACCTGAGACGAAATGGGGTGATCTGCATATATATGGACTTTGAACGGCATGATGCTTTTCCGTGTGTCTCCATTTACCGCATGAGATACTTTAGCGCCTTTTGCCCTCAAATTTGCTGCGAGTGCTAAAAAACGTTTTTGAAWATTTCGCACATTGCTCAATCTTTCTGTTGACATTCACCAGTGATTGGTCAGTACGTGATTGACAGTTTCTGGAAGGATTTTGAGTGCGCAGCCAGGCCTCGTTCTTCCTTTGGTGGCCTTGCCTTCTCAAAATGGGCGGCCAGGTATCTCGTACCGACTTTGAATGGTCTTATACCGAAGAGCCTCATGCCAGTAGACGAAAAGAAATACTCGGTAAGAAAGATGAATTCTTTGTCTTATGCTTGTCTGCGGTAGAATGCGATATTTTTGCTTGAAAGGTASTGASATGTTAGTGTCAACCGGCGTTTCTGATTTTTCTGCTTTGAAATATTGCATAACTTGCTTATTACTCCTATGCAAAACAAACATGAAATGATTGCTACAGTTAAACATGTTTGAAAAGATGAAAATGAACCAGTATTCTCTGTGAATGGGGCGTCGTTTCATGACCTGAGTATGGTTATTTCGCAAGGGAAGTTTATTAGGCTTTGACTAGACCATTCACCGATGCTGTCTAAATTTTGTCATTTCATTTATCATCCCGAATAATTTATTCGTCTCTGAGAAAATTTATCGCTTAGTTTGATAAATCAGGCTTCATATTATGATTTTTTGTTGCAATKTTGTGTTTTTGATGTTTGTTGGTGCCCKAATGTAGTCCACGTTTTGTTTCAGCTAAAATTCTCCCAGATCTGACAGTTACATGCATATTATATTTTCACCAATTGTATAACATTTTGTAGACGAACACGTGAAGAGAGAGACAGCTGATCCAGTTCAGCTGTTATTACATTTATTACATTATGTAAATTTAAGAAGACATCCTTCATTGCCTTCAATAGAGTCTCAATAAGTATAGTAATATTGGTTGTTTGTTTTGACGTAACCCTTCAAAGATTTTGAATTCTTATGAAATTCAATTTTGAATTTATCCTATGTCCTTTGCTAAATTTTTGTTTTTATTAGAGCTAGCTGAGTCAAAGATTGTACTCTATTTGCAAGCGGGTGCAAAGGACAGTGAGTCAGCCAGGTTTATAGCTGATTTCTTTTAATTTTACACTCTGAAGGACACAAAACCAGCCTGTTTACACTGGGCTGGTTTACTTTTTAAAAATAAGCAGTAGTTTCAACTTGAAGTACTATTTTATGTTTATCAAAAACTCAAGGTAGTATCTGTATTTGATAAACTTTATCATCTTTTTCAGCAAAATACCCAGAGATCAAGAAGCTGATGGGATTCGACCCTAACTTCAARTACCAAGTTCTTTTTCTTGTGGTGCTACAGTTCTGTATAGCATACATTGTCAAGGACTTCTCATGGCCATTGTTGTTTGTTGTTGCGTATRTCATTGGTGGTGTGATAAACCATGCCCTTCTTYTAGCAATCCATGAGATTTCTCATAACCTTGCATTTGGTCATGCCAAGCCTCTGCACAACAGATTGTTTGGCTTTTTTGCAAACTTACCTATTGGCGTCCCTTGTTCTATCTCCTTTAAGAAATGGCATCTTGAACATCACCGCTATCAAGGAGACGAGGAACTTGATGTTGATTTGCCAACAGAATTTGAAGCAAGGATGTTCTTCAACTCTGTCACAAAGCTTCTATGGGTGATCTTTCAGCCATTTTTCTATTCATTCCGCCCAATGTTTGTCAACCCAAAGAAACCATCAGCTTTAGAAATCATAAACTTAACACTACAGTTCTCTGTTGATGCATTTCTTCTATATTACTTTGGAGGCAAGTTCCTRGTTTACCTGGTTGCTTCATCTCTTCTTGGTATGGGACTTCACCCTGTAGCTGGGCACTTTATAGCTGAACATTATATGTTTGTAGAAGGGCAAGAAACCTTCTCCTACTATGGGCCTCTGAACTGGGTAACCTTTAATGTTGGCTACCATAATGAGCACCATGATTTCCCAAGTGTCCCTGGCTCAAGACTTCCCCTYGTTAAGAAGATCGCTTCAGAGTACTATGACACCTTGCCACACCATAATTCCTGGACCAAGGTTATTTATGAGTTCATTACTGATCCTCGTATTGGTCCATTTGCTAGAGTAAAGCGTAAGCCAAAAAGCCAAGCTATGGCAGAGAATGAGAGCAAAGAAAAAGATCAGTGATTTCAAAACTCACCTTGAAAAACACYGTTTTGGTTTGTCAGTAAACTTACCACTGGGACTTGTCAGAAGTTATTGTGAAACAATTTTATTTCTCTTGAAAAGATGATATAAAATGAGATATTATTAAGAAAACAAAATGACATTATTATTAGCCATTTATATTTCTTGATAAATATTTTATTTAATATATTCTTGGTGAAAATGATACAAAGAAGTGACACTTATTGAAACTATTAATGTATATTAGAATCATATTCTATTAGTGCAATACCAAAAATAAATCGYTGTTTTAGGTATTTTTTATTTAGGTTCTTGAAATAAATTTGTTTTAATTACAGTTGTAAATGTGAYGTTGTTAATTGTCTCTTGAAGTGGTTATAATACATATTATCTGCTYTGCCATTTTGTAACCTGAATTTGATCCTGTACATGATTGCAAGCAAATACAAGAAAACCTTGTTTTTGTGTGATGGCAGTCTTCAGTAAACCATTGATACAACACAGTCTGGGACTGCTCTTTGCTAGACTTGTTAACAGTGTATTTTAGAAATGGAGTCTAAAGTTTCAAGGAGAATGATACGCCACAAGAGCAACCCATTTCTGCCTTGGGGTTGTCAATCACCCTGAATGCTGATCGAATAAGTTCTTCATGATAATCGATAGTTGACCCGCTTAGGATTTCAAGAGAGGTCTCATCAACTACAACCTTTGCACCATCTTTTTCAAATACCCTGAAAGAAAAATACATATGTACGTGTCTGGTTGTGCTTTACATTGTGTGGATTCCACTAATTTYAGGATATGATATTTGCCCTTACACAATTTGAAACAACCAAAGAAAAAATAAAGTGTATCTCTGCACTGCCACCTATGTAAATTATATCCGTATAGACTCCATTTCCACGCTGCTCTCCAACATGTGATTTCAGAGTTTTTCAAGTGATGCTGTTTTCAAGTACTATCAGATTGGTAATCTCTTTATTGAGAGAGAATATATTGCYTTCTCTAGTACCTGTCATCTGGTGATTTCTCTGAATCAAGGTTGAAGGTATATTGAAACCCTGAACAGCCTCCCCCTTCTACCATTACTCGAAGGAATGTGTCTTTTTCATTTGATGTTATTTTTTTCAGTTGCTTAAAATAAAAGAATCAGAGAATAAGAAACGTAATAATGATGATAATTATCTCAAAATAAGATGCTAGGTGATTGAATGACAATCCACATGTTGCAAAAACAAGGATTTTCTGCATAATTCTGGGAGCTCTGACAAATTTTGATTCAGCATTGCTGTGCTGCCGTATAAAGTTGATCTRTGCATTGTTACAAACAATGATCATCGATCTAGCATTAAAAACACTGTTTATGGATCTTCCTTTTACTTAAATATACCTCCAAATACTAAATGACTGTACCTTGACACATTTATCGCTGAGTTGAATCGTCAATTTTTCTTCTGTTTCACTTGAGGGAGGCACTTCGCTTGACAAATATCTATTGTATCTATTTAATTGATCATTGCATAATGTAAGGAGTTTTCCATGATGATAATTTCTTTCTGGCAAGTTTGTGTACGAAATGTTCTTCCTGTGTACACTAAAAGGTATTACTTTTGTAGCGAATCTTTGACAAGACAAAATCCTTCTTGCAATCGTCGCCATGTTTATGCTGAGTAACCTTTCCTTTACTAGGGTTATGTAATAATTTTACCTTTGGGGGTAGTAGAACGGGTCAAAATTGCACTTTTACAATTTTGTATCTGTTTTATACTCTGCTATTTCCTTTGATCACAAATTCTTGCAGAAAATGGCAAAAAAAGCAAATAAAAGAACAAAACTTTTATTATGTCTAGAATGCACAAAAATCTAGCACATTGTACCAAATAATCTTTTTGAATCGTTTTTTTTCCAAAACTTATTTAAATAGAATAGCTTTAGGCATAATTTATTTAATTTCAGAATGTTTAAGCAAAATATATTTCATAGTATGTGCAACGTATGTCACGCCAGATTTTGCCGCCAAAATTCATATTTTTGTCAGGGGGAGGGGCAGAGGTATGCAATTCGACTCGGGACACGGCCGAGATGTCACAAAARCTTCCAAATCTATAAGCCATGTTTATATCTWTTCYTKACTAACTATGATGGAAAATACGGATGTAGACGCTTTAGCTGAACTTCGCAGGCACTTCAGGACAGTTTCGTTTACTCCTGCAACAGAATTTATCAATATAGATTTGAAAAATGAACCGGAGAAGGACGGCGTGCGTCAAGAGGACAAARGCGTCCGCGAGTCGGTGAGCTATTRWAAATACTAAATGAATCTTAGTCATAATTCAATTCCTCAGACTATATATTTATCATTGCATGAGATTATTAAAGACAATCAAAAAGAAAATGCTAGGGAAATCAGGGTCTTAGTCCCAGAATGTTTTCACGGTTTTACATGTAGTATGCAAACAACACAAATTTAAAGTATGTTTGAAAACAAGATTTTTGTATATTTTGCAGCAAATGCTCCTTGCTGGAATCTTAGTAGAGGAGGCTTTTAAAGGTGGTAATGGATATTTTCAGACTTCACCCCGTGAACTTAGGTAAGTTTGAAATTACAAGCTCCAAGTCAGGTTGTACCCCTCCCCTCCCAACACAGGCGACCCAWCAATGTTGTGACATTTATCCACTTTCTTATTTCAGACTTTACAAGATATATAGCAAGCCTTACCTTACCTATGTAATGTATTTGTTTGTTTGGCTCTTACTGTCACTGGCGTTATTTGAAGAACCAGCTGTGCCTCCACTTAAATTACCATATTGGGTTAGTAATTATGTATTTTAATTCATTCATACATTTACTTGTTCATTCATTCACTTTTTTGTTTTTGCTTTTTTAGTTGACATTCATATTGGAGTATATTTGTCTATTTGCGTTTTCTCTTCGTCTGTTCCATGTGTGGTCGTTTGCTGCGGGARTCAAGTTTTGGAAAGACAAGAAGAACATGATAATGTTAATAATGATTGTAGTGAGTAGAAAATATGTCTCTTTATATGTTTATAATATATTTTAAAATGACCTGGCGACCCTGTGAGATTATACACAKCCCACAGCTTAGTAGCTAAGCTTGGTTGCCATTCATGCATCTCTCCATACCATAGGACATATMAGAAAGTGAAATTGCTATACCAGACAGCCACTGGGGCTCCTCGCCAGCCCTCTGACAATATCCAGCTAACTTCATCTGGCAAGCTTCAGGGACAAATCACAATGTCCTGCAGAACTATTCAAATACACAGAGATGAAAAACAACCCTGCCATTCCTGATACTATTTTAGTCATGCTACTGCTGTCACCTGATGTTTTGTTTCTTGTCTTTAGCTGACATTTATCGACATGATAATGTACGTTATATTTAAAGAAGCCGGTCTTCATACACATGCTACTCGTTGGACAAGAGTGTTAAGACCATTGTWCTTAGTCAACATTAGTGAAGGACGCCAGGTAAAAAACGATATGGAAATCCACGCTCTGATTTTTTGTTAAATACAAATAGTATAAACTGACAGTAATGATTGGTCGTGCAATGATATATTTTTCCAGATCCGTCGAGCTGTGCGCAATATACGTCGTACCCTTCCAGAGATTGCTAATGTTCTTGTACTATTACTACTGCTGATTGCACTGTTTTCACTTCTTGGTGTCAAGCTCTTTGGTAAAAGGTCATTATGAAAGGCAATCATGTTGGGATTTTAATACTGCTTCCATATCCCCTGGCCCACTTTGTGAATGTGTTGTTAAAGCAATGATAGGTGACTGTTTTCTCACTTTGGCTCAAATTATTTACAGGCGTCTATCATTGCAAGTTTATTGTTGCAAAGTCTGAGAACAGCTAGGAATACATGGCAATGGAGGATATTTATGCATATAGGCATATAGGTTACTACTCAGAGTACTATGAAGTGGGCTATCACCTATTTGTGCCCAATACAATACTGCTTTATTTAGAAAGTCTCTCAATGTATTTTGAAAGTGTTACTGTRCATAATTCATACTGTTCTGTGACTGTTGATTAACAGGGGGCTTAAAGATATCCATGGCCAACCATATTTTGCTAAATATGTAGATGTTTACTTTTCATTGTATGTCTTAACTACGACGGCAAACAACCCTGATGTTGGGTAAGTAGTTCATATATAATGTGTACAATTGAATGGTTTCAATGTCTGCAATATGATGTTTTCTTTTAG